CAGGCTGGGATGTGGGGTGGAGTTTCCTTAGATACCTGGGGGAGGGCCCAAAAAATCCTGACAGGAGGGTAGGGAGGAAGGGGTTAGACTAGCGGTCATGGCTGTGCCCAGTCCAGGCTCTGCAAGTGAATGAAGCCTTCAAGACCCTCAGTACATTCTCTGCTCTCCTCTGAGGAACCCATGGGTGGTGCCCTGTTGGTCTAGGGACAGGGCACCGCTAGTCTCTCAGATGAAGACCTGGGCGGCCGCGCCCAGCCCCGTCAGCATGAAGTCACCCTGCCAGTTGGAATTTCCTGTCCCTTAAACACTGACTAGAGACAGCCCCCGCCCTCGGCCTGGTCCGTGGGCTCCCAGACTCACCAAATACCTCGGGAACTCATTGTCAGACGGTGCCAGGCCCTGCCCTCCAGGCCTAACTGCGGATGCACAGACATGTGACAGGTTCCATTGTCAGTGGCAGAGAGGGAAGCCACGTGGTGGGCGTGTTCTGTGGTGGGCCTTCTCTGAGCCCCACGAGCTTACTTTCCTGAGCAGTGACCCCACTATCTGGACCCACTTTTCCAGTGCTTGGCAGGGTTAGTGCAGGAACTGGGATCTCCGGGGAAACTGAGATGTGTTGGCAAGGTGCCCTGGGAGCACAGCTTTCTCGGAGTGAGGTCTTGTGCAGTAAAACCTGGACATTAGAAGATGCAATTAGCAGGTGAATCTTAGACTAAGAATGTGGGCTTTCACCACAGATGGGTCTCTCCCTAGTCAGATGATGAAGGTGACACAAGCCCCTCCCTCCCTCGAGGGTGGAGCTGGATAGAAGTTCCTGGGTGTGTGTTCATCTCCATGTCCAGTGTCCTCTGCACACAGGAGCGCAGCAACCCTTCACCGGCCGTTAAAGCCAGGAGAGACTAAACTAGGTTGTTCCCGGTGCCTGTGGTGCCCTACCTTTTCTGGCTGCAGGAGGAGTAAGGAGTCTTGAGCCAGGACAGAGGCTGAAGGCAGAAGGCAGGAGGGTGTTAAGATGGTCTTAGAAATAAGCTCTGATGAGACTGGACTTCAGGACCCTTGTGTGAGGCTCATTAAGAGAAAGGCTGGAGGGACCAGCAGTTAGCATAATGGCTATGTCACTGGACTCCCATGTAGTCGACTGTGGTTTGTGTCCCGGACCTGGTGGCTTAAAACTCACGCTGGGTGCGTGTGCGTGAGTGCCCAAGATTCCGAGAGGAGAATGGAGAAGGGACTGTGGCATGGCCATCCCCCTTGGGCGGGGGCGGGGGTGGTGATTTCTCGCTTTCTATCTCTCTGTCTTTCTCTGTCTGGTGAGCACATGCACCCTATAGTGAGAAAAAAAAAAAAAGAAGAAGAAAGAAAACCTCTCCAAAAGAGAAAGGCTGGAGAGGCAGGGGGCTGGATAGTGGCACAGAGGTAAAATGCAGCACTGCAAGGTTGATCCATGTAGGAAGTCCTGGGTTTGAGTCCAGAGTACACTGGGCATGTACACACGGGTAACTATTACCTGGGGCAGGCTGAGGCTGGGGTGGATCGTGGCATTAGGATCTTGTGGGGGTGCTGTCTTTCTCTTCCTCATTTGCTTATGGAAAAAAAAAATAAATGAAGACACTTAAAAAGAAAAGGGCTGAAGGCAGGAGTGCTTGTGGAGTGAGTGTATAGACTGGGGAATAATGGGACCCAGGTGACAAGTGTGGGCAGAATGGGAGAGGGAGATGTTTCCTCGCTTACGGCAGGGCCTTCATGTATAAGGACACTGGTGTCCAGGGCCTCAAGTAGGGCTTGCTGTTTGGCGGTCCAGAAGGTAGCGCCCCGGGACATGCTGTCTGCCTGGACCTCTTTGTGTCATGGTGTCACAGTCACAGTAGGGAGGCGCCCTCAAGTGGCTTCACAGCCTCAAGTCTGATGAAAAGAGATGGAGCTCAAGTCAGTCAGTGTCTGTGAACCCCTGTGGTACCCCTCTTCCTCCTGCCAGAATAGCTTGGCGTGGGTTTGAGGGAACCAGGAAGAGCGGCTCAGCAAATGGGACAAGGGACATGAAAACAGGAATGGTAATTGATAATGCATCCCCAATTGGTCCCCATAACCTGGAGAGATCAGAGAGAACTGAAATATTTAAGAATATATTTTTTTCCTCAAATTTTTAATTTATCCCCAAACAACAGTAATTAAAAAAATTATTTATTTACTTTTATTTGTTATTTTTAAATTTGACCAGAGAGAGAGACAGAGAGAGAGAAAGGGAAAGTAAAAAAGCAAGTCACCAGGTCTGGGACTCAAACTGTGGTCAGCTATGTGGGACTCCAGCACCCCAGCCACCATGCACCTGCTGGTCCAAACGGGAGTAATTTTTTTCTTTGTTTTTAGAGATTTTTGCTATAGGGCATGTGCGCTCATCAAAGAGACAGAAAGCAAGAAATCACCCCCCAAGGGCGATGGCCACACCACAATCCCTCCTTTTCCATTTTCCTCTCGGGATTTTGCACATGCCCAGAGTGAATTTTAAGTCGCTGGATCTGGGACTTGAACTGCACTCAACTATGTGGGAGTCCAGTGACGTAACTGCTGTGTCATCTGCTTGTCCCCCAACAATAGCAATTTTTAAAATAGCATTTGCTAAGTGTTTTCAGATTACCAATCGGTGTTTGTTTAGGAAGAAAATTTGGACAATAGAGAGAAACCACGAAACAAAAATGAAAATGACTTGCTCTTTAGAGGTAAGCACTCTCTACATTGCACATATTGTTTTGTAATTTATTTTATCCACTTAAAGGTGTATCATGAATCTTTTCACATGTCAATAGATATTCTTTTACATTATTTTTTAATGGTAGCTTAGTATTCCTTTTTGTAGGCCTGCCAAAAATGATTTAACCAATCCTTCTATTAGACATTAAGGTTGTTTACAACTGTTAGTCATAAAATAAAACTGTTAACAGTCCTATAAGCAAATCTATGCACATATACATAATAATTTCTTAGTATAAATTCCTAGGAAGATAATAACTGGTCAAACTGCATGTTTTTGTTTGTTTGTTTTTGTAAATCTTGCGCTCTCTGGAGAGAGAGAAAGACATCCCTGTGGGAGAGAGTCGTGCTGCAATCCCTTCTACTCCCCTTCTCCTCCTTATGAGATTTTGGGCATGCACACACTGGTGCCTGGTGTGTTTTATTTAAACTGCTGGGCTCGGGATTCAAACCTTGCAGTCAGCCCTGTGGAATCCTGCCACTTTAACCACCATGCCATTAGCTGACCCAATGTGCATATTTTCAGCAAATTGCTCTCTAGCAAAGTTGTTTCAATTTACATTCTCACCTACAGAATATGAGAATGCCTATTTCCCCACACCTTTGCCCAAATTTGGTATTCTCAATCCTTTCAACTTTTCATTAATTTGAAAATGACTTTGGCTCACCCACACTTCTGCAAATCTCCTTTAGTGCAGGTATCTGAGAGCTGATATTTGTGGTGAATGTTCCAGAAGTCACATTAGTCACACCCAGGGTCCAAACCCATTTTGTCCGGGACATAGTCCCTCTGCTGTACAGCACCTTCTGCCCTGTTAATGAAAGGCATTACACAGTTGGCCACTCGAGGAACTGAAGACGTGGAAAGATCCTTCCCTTGCCACAGGCTGATGCCCACCCAGACCTGCCTCAGCGTTGTAGGCAGACTCAGAATTCTCACGGCTTGGCTGGGCCAGGAGCAGGAAAGGGTAGCTGGCATCAAGGTGCATCCAGGGGAGATGCACAGCAGCTGCCAGGGGAGAATAAGACATGGTTCCTGAATGGAGTCTTGTGAGAAAGACGTGGGCACAGGACTCTGGTTCAGTTTGTCCCTATACAGGGACAAGCTGAAGTTCTGTGTAGAATCACCAGATAGAGGCAGGGGTACCAGTTGGCCAGGGGTCAGGAATAGCACAGAAATCTTGAGAAGGGCTGGTTCACACCATTGTCTTTGGGCTCCCTTACAAGTCTGTATCTTGGTGATTTATTGTCTTAGTCTATTGTTGTGTTGCTACACAGGAATACCTGGAATGGAGTGGTTTATAAAGAACAGAGGTTTATTTGCTCATGATTTTGGTGACTGCAAAGTCCAAGAGCATGCTGCTGGCCAGATGCTGCAGCACATGGTAGAGGACATCAGAAGGGTCAGCAGATGTGTGTAGAGAGAGAGACCCAAGGGTAGCTCTGACTTATATAACAACCCACTCCCACAGAACTGATCCCTGTCAGCTCACTCTGTCTCATGACACAGCATTAACCTTTTCAGGAAGGCAGTGTGCCATGATTCAAACACAGCCCACTAGGCCTCACCTCTTAAGGTCTCAGAACCTCCTACTGTCATTTATTGGGGACCAAATCCCAACACATGAACTTCAAGGGAACAAACCATAGCATTGTCTATGGGAGAGAGTAAGAGGAGAATTGATGATCACTGACAGGTGTTGAGGCCGCACAACTTGGGAAGAACCAATGGCTTGGAAGTAGATTCTTGGTGATCTTCAGCACCCCGTGTTGGTACAGCTGGCAAGGACATATACAACAGCAATAAGAGCTGGTATTTCTGAGCCCTTCAAGCTATACCAGGAATCATGCTAAGCTACTGCATTCTGGATAGCTCTGCTTGTAGAAAAGGGGAGGCGGATGTGATGAGGCTGAGGTTTAGATTAAGGTGTGCTTTGGGACAGCACAATCCAAAAGGAGCAGCCTAGGAGCAGCCTCTCATTAACTCTGTATGAATGTTCTAACACCCACTCTGCCTGACAGCCATCAGAGCCTTCCTCCATGCAGCCTCAAACAGGTGGGCGAATTGGGATCATGCCTACCAGGAAATGCTGTGAATTGATTGGCTCAGGCAACCATTGTGGCATAGGGTTCGTGATTGTCCCAGTGGGCTTAGCCCAAAGAGAATTCACCCTGTATCACAATGGGATGTGGGTAAGACGTGGGTGTTGTGGATATCACCACATGGTTTACTCTGTGCCCTCCCTGGCCTCCCCAGCAGGTGGTTGCCCAGCTTTTAGTCCCAGAGAGAGGACACGTCATTAGAGACAGAACATGCTGACCACAGTGCCTGTCAGCCATGAGACTGGTGTGAGATTTGAGCTGCCTCAAGTATCCACTCCTGTCTCCAGCATTTGATGCCTAACAGAACAATGTCAGCTCCACTTTCAAGAGGTGAATCTTTCTTCTGAGCAGGAAAGGAGGTGAGATACTGAGTTTTTGAGGAGCAGGAGGAAAATGAATTGGCTGTCCTTCTCTCCATGCCCTCCTCAGGGCTCCACCTTAAGAAGGCCACATGTGAGCAGTGTCTTAGCCCAGCAGCTATGACAGGGAGAACCTTAATGATGGCCTCAAAGAGAGGATGAAGGATATCTTTATGATGGTTACCTTAGGGTGATTTTCATGGTTCCTCATTTAAGCAGAAGCTGCTGCTTTTGGACGTAGCATGTCTTTTTCTCATGAGCAAGAGGGAGCTCCTCTCCCAGAGCCAGTTAAAGGTGCATGGGAGTGTCATGGACTTAGAGATTGTGAATTATCCAGGTCTCACCTGGCCTCGTGTGTGTCTTATGAGCAGAAGGCCTTTGGACCATTTTAAGTACTAGAGTTGCAGGGACAAAATAAGCCACTTCTTACCTCAATTATCAACCCACTAACCCGAATGTATGCCTTACTGTATGCCAGTGCCAATGAATGCAATTAAAGCACCTGAAAATAATGGTATAGGTAAACTTTTATTCCCCATCGTTTTTTTATGCTTATTGCATGAAAAGAAACTCTTTAGGCCTAGCCAAACTGATGGAGCAGTAGCACAAGACTCTACAATGCTGGAAGCCTGATGGAAGATTGGGGTTCAGTTCTTGGGTCGACCCTTACATGCTAGGTGTGTAGGTACCCATGATTTGGGCTGTCTGAAAGGCTGGGGTTGGAGATTTGTGGTGTGAGACTTGGTTAAGGGTGCTTCTCTTTCTCTTTCTCTCTGTCTCTCTCTCGAAAAAAAATACTTAAACTTTAAAAAAACTAATTGAGTCTGGAACCAGAAAATATCTTTTTTTAAAGATCTTCCTAAATTGAGGACCATCAGGTAGCATAGTGGTTAAGGCGCTGGGCTTCCACATGGCCGACTGCAGTTCAAGTCATGGACCCAGTGGCTTGAAACTCATGCCAGATGCGTGTGCATGCATACCAGAAATCCTGAGAAGAGAATGGGGGAGAAGAGATTGCAGCATGGCCAACTCTCCTGGGCGGGGGTGGGGGTGATTTCTCACTTTCTGTCTCTCTGGTGAGTGTATACGCCCTATAGCAAAAAATCTCTCTCCAAAAAAGAACTTCCTAAATTTACAACAGTGGTGACTGCTAGACAGTAAACTCCTTGAGAGCAGAGATTATTTTTACATGACTTGTATTCTAGCCTTTAGCATCTGGGACATAGAAAATGCTCAATAATTGTTGGAAAGAGGAAAAACAGAATCAAGGAAGGAACTATGGAATCTGTTTTGTTCTTTGCCTAGAGGGATGATTTCTAGTGTATGTGTGTTTTTTTTTTGCCATTTAACATAAATTTGGCTTTTATTGTAAAATAAGCACTCTTTAAAGCGTTAAGAAGTGCGTTTCATCTGTATTTGTTTATTTTTAAAAGACAGTGCCTTGGCTTGTATAGAAATTGACAGAATAAAGTAAAAGCTTGGCTTCCTCCCCCACGTGTCTATTAAATATCCACAAGGACATGCAAATAGAAAACAATTCCCCACCAGCTTCATGAACGCAGGATAAGAATTAAGCATGTGTCAGAACTTCTGGGAGGAGCTAGTACTAAATACAACTCCAGTGTGGCTGGATTAACAGCTAATTCCTCTGTGCCTCTTAGTGTAAAACAGCACTAAGTGAGAAACGGCCTTGGCTGGTCCCCCACCAAGTGGCCCCTAATTCACTGCTTTGCCAGCAGGGCTAATGGGGCCTCTTAGCAGCGCCTTGCCCCTGGCTTCCCTGCCACCTTTGCCAGCCAGGGAAGGAGGAGGTGGGTGGGCAAGAGGGTTCCCGTCAGCAGAGGGTACCAGGGCTAAGATAAAGAGGACAGCTCAATCTCTTCCCAATGCCTCCTTGAGGCTTGGTGCACAGGCAAGACTTAAAACCCAGAACTGTGTTCTGCTTTCCTGCCCCTTCTGTGCTGAAATAATATGCATACTCACAAGTAATGATTTTTTCCAGCCATGCTGAGTTGGGGCTCTTTGAATCGACTGGAGAACCGGGATGGGGCCTGCGTAGAGCCAAGAACAGGAAACCCACCCTTACCCTTGAGTGTGAAAGGCAGCCCCAGCCAACACCCACAGGGCAGGCGGGAGCTCTCCCCAGCTGAGGAAATCTGTGCACATTTGGCTGTTCTCCCCGGTGCAGCACTGTTGGTGAAAGCATGGCCCACCATGAAGAGTGGACAGAGGGAGCCTAGGCAAGAAACAAGACTCTGAAACTGGCCAATTGTAGTAAAATTTAAGCTCTAAGGGGGCAGATCCCTTTTCATTCACTGTTTCATTCCAGTGCTAGATTTGGCACATACTAGTCACTTAAAAAATACGTTTTGTCACACAAAACCACGGTTCGGCCTGTAGCTCACTTTTTCATTTTCCCTTTCTCTTTCTGTCTCTCTCTGGTCAAATTAAAAATAACAATAATTTTTAATTAAAAATTAAATAAATTTTTTTGGAGAGATTTTTGCTATAGGGTGTGTGTGCTCGCCAGAAAGACAGAGACAGAGAGACAGAAAGCGAGAAATCACCCTCCAGGGGGGATGGCCACGCCACAATCCCTTCTCCTCTATTCTCCTCTTGGGATCTTGGGTACGCACGCATACGTGCCCGGCGTGAGTTCAAGCCGCCGGATCTGGGACTCGAACTATGTCAACTACATGCAAGTCCAGCGACACAGCCATTACGCTAACTGCTGGTCCCTCCTAAAAATATCTTAAAAAAAAGAAAAGATCAGCTGGGGTCAGATGGTGGCAGAGCGGCAGTGCAGGGCTGTGCGGTGTGGAACCCACATGAGAAGGTCTCAGGTCTGCGTCCCAGGCCTCCCGGTACGTACATCAGGCGTCCACGTGCATGCCTGTGACTTGCGCTTGCTGAGGCTGGGAGGGTGTAATGCAGCATGGAGACCTGCTGAGGGTGCCCGTCTCTTTATCTCACTCTTTGTCTCTCTCCCTCATGATACAGAGAAAGAAAGAAACTTCATAAAAGAGATCAGGCCACGAAAACTTGAACCTTCAAAGCAGAGCCTGAACCTTCAAAGGTGAGCCTCCCGAACCATGATGTTAAAATGTGGGTTCTGACTCATTAGGTCTGGATTGGGGCCCAAGATTCTGCATTTTTCTAACAAGTTTCCACAGAAAACTTAGAAATTTTCACTTTAAGTAGTTTTGGACGTAGCTCTGCACAGGAAGTGACATTTCTTTCTCATTGCCCAGCGCCAAGGTGGAGTGGATATCCCGTGAGATACAGGAAGTGTAAATGCTGGGTCAATTCTAAATGGAAGTCGGTCATGCTAGACGTTAAACAAAAATATATAGAAAACAATGTAGAGACCAGCAGTTAGCGTAATGGCTATGTTGCTGGACTGCCATGTAGTTGACCACGGTTCGAGTCCCAGACCTGGTGGCTTAAAACTCACGCTGGGTGCGTGTGCATGCATGCCCAAGATCCCGAGAGGAGAATGGAGGAGAAGGGATTGCGGCATGGCCATCCCCCCTGGGGGGTCATTTCTCGCTTTCTGTCTCTCTGTCTCTCTCTGTCTGTCTGGCGAGCATACGCGCCCTATAGCAAAAACCTCTCCAAAAGAAGAAAAAAGAAAAGAAAACAATGTGTATTTTGACTTCAATACACATGAAATAATGTTTCTGGGCAGCCTTGCTATTCAGAAACAAAAGCTTTTCATCATGTTTTGATTAAAGGTAAGGCACTTTCTTAATCTAGGTTCGTCCACTGCACAGCTGGACAAATCCCAGTTTGGAAAATTATTGCCAAATGTTGGGGAATCTCCCTTGCCATGCTAGTTCCACAGTTGGGTCAGAATTCTGTGCTTGGGACAGATGGATGTTTGGGAAATCACTTGGCTTCACTGAACGTTGCAGACCCTGGGCCTTGTGCGTGATTATTACCAAAACCACCGCTAATGAACACTTTTCCAAATGATGACTCATTCCCCCAGCCGACTTTTCACAATGTCTGCTTACCGAATCTGTCCTGATCACTCCTTTTGTCATCTGACTTGCAGACGGGTGCCTGATCTCCTTTGATATACTGTCCATGACATCCTAACAAACGGCTCTCTTTAATCAAAGGAATCAGACGTATGCCACCGTCAGAAGTCGGGGTGGGGCGAACACGGAGCAGATGTGTTCCTGCAGGTCAGATGGAATGAGTGGATTTGGAACTTACACTCGGCATAATCTTTAAATTAACCCTAGGCTCTAATTTTAAAATAGAACCCCACATTTTTTACAGGGTAGAGACGTCATAGCCAGCAGCTTTTAACAGAAGCAAGAAAGCAAAGGTCTCGAGATAATTTTTTAAAAATCCATCTAGAAGCATAGCATTATGGGTGGAAATTCTTAGACCAGAGATTCTCACCTTTTCAGATAGCTAAGCAAGACAAATAAACAAATATTTCCACATTCAAATACCAAAGGAGATGCTGATCCATGGATTTTAAAGCAGCCTTGTGAATACAGGCAAATCTATTACTTGCTTATACATACTAATTTTCTTTTTTTTGGGGGGAGAGGTTTTTGCTATAGGGCATGTGTGCTCGCCAGAAAGACAGAGAGAGAGAGAGAAAGAGACAGAAAGCGAGAAATCACCCCCCAAGGTGGATGGCCACGCCTCAATCCCTTTTCCTCCATTCTCCTCTTGGAATCTTGGGCATGCATGCCCACACGCCCAGCATGCATGCACACGCGCCCAGCATGAGTTTAAGCCACCCAGTCTGGGACTTAAACCATGGTCGACTACGTGGGAGTCCAGGGACATAGCCATTTACACCAACTGCCGGTCCCATATGCATACTAATTTTTAAAAAATCATACTGGCAGATATACACACGTAGAAGAGAAATCAGTATTCTATTTTTCTAACAATTCAGCGGGGCTATTTCCAAAAGGGGAACAGGTGCTCAACAAAGGGTCTGCAGTGACGCACACTCAAGAAGTGTTGGAGTGCGGTGCAGATGTGGCGCCAGAGGTTGGGCCAGTTATCTACCAAGACTCCTTTCAAGTAAGAGTCTGTGATTCTTTATCTGACACATCCACCCACGTCCGCCACTCCATCTGGCTGAGGAAAGGCCATTTGGACGTGGCTGCCTGGGTCCATGGGCCTCCCACATGATCTGACTGTCCTGGACCTGGGTACCACCTGCCAAGCCTGTTCCCAGCAGACCTCCGTCCAGTTCTGACCTGTATTGGCTCTTCATCCAGATCACCTTTCCTGGCAAAGGACGCCTGCCTCCTGCTAGCCCTTCTCGTTTGGCCATCAGTGTCAGGTCTGGGATGAACGATCGAAGTGCTGTCCTAGGATCTCTCTCCTTTACCCATGGATGGGCCTGTTATTTGCATTATTTTCACATTTAGGAGACAGAGTGAAGAGAGAGAGATAATATCCTTATGTAGATTTGAATTCTACTTCTGCCACTTTCTGTCCAGACATCTTAGGAAAATCGGGTAGCTTCTCCAAACCTCTTTATCGGCCACATTGTTATGCATCTATTCAGTGAGTTCCCTCCGTGTTAAGCAAGTGCTAGTTTTGGAGGATATGACAATGAAGATGCTGTTGCTGTCCCCAGGGAACTTGTAATCAGTGGGGGGAGAGAAGGATGGAAATGAGCAGGACGTAAGTGTAAGGGGAAGTGACCATAGGGTCAGCCCAGGACACAAGAGAGTACCCAGGAGGAGCACCTGCCTCGTTGTCTCAGAAAAGGTGGTCTCTGCTGAGAATGAAGGATCAGTAAGCATTCGCCAGAAGAGGGGTAGGGGTGGGGCAAACAGAACATGGGAGTCTGGAAGCCTGTACATTGTTCATTATGGCTACAGCTTGGAGCTGGGGAGACAGTGTGGAAGGAGGGAAGGGGAGAAAGTGAACGATGAGGCTTCCACAGTAACCAGGAGCCAGAGCATGAAGGCTCTCGTAAGTCCTGATGGACGGAAATTTGGATGATTCGTCCCATTCACCATCCTGCCTCCTCCACTTCCTTAGCAAGCCCTATCGCTCCACTTCGGGAATGTTCCCCATCTCAGCTACCTCCTCCATATCCATCGCTACTTTCCTCTAGTTCATTCTTTTTTATTTATTTATTTTTGTTTTGAGAGAGATTTTTGCTATAGGGCATATGCACTTACCAAAGATACAGAGAGAAACAAAGATAGAAAGTGAGAAATCACCTCCCCCCCCTCCCCAGGGGGGATGGCCATGCTGCAATTCCTTCTCCTCCAGTCTCCTCTTGGGATTTGGGGCATGCACGCACACGTTCCCGGCGTGAGTTTTAAACTGCTGGGTCTGGGACTTAAACTATGGTCAACTCCATGGGAGTCCAGCGACATAACCATTACACCATCTGCTGGACCCCTCTAGTTGATTCTAACTGAGCTAGCCAAAGCCTATTTTCTTTAACACGGGTGAGGCACATTGCTGCTCTGAACTGAAGCAGTGACAGTGGGCAGAGAAACAAGTGGATCTATCTGAGTGCTAAGAAGACAGAATCTTCCTATTCTGAGTGATGTGCTGGAGATGAGTAAAAACAGACTCATTCCCTCCGCTCATAGAAGTTATCAATCTTGGAGTCAGAGCAGTAGCCTAGTGGTTACGGGAGCAGGATCCCATATATCCAATCATGGTTTGAATCCCAGTCCCAGCTGCTTGAAAACACACCAGGCATGTGTGCGTGTGTGCCCCAAATCCTAGATGCCCCGCAATGTAGATTTCTAAACACTGTTTAGAATCACCAAACCTGTCTGAAATGAAGACACATCCTAATTATTTAAAAAGCAAAACCCATTTAGAATGAAAGGGAGGAGATAGAGAACAATAATCACCTTTTTCTATGATGCTCAATCCAGAAGTCCACTTGCTGCTTCTGTCCTAGAGTGGGAGTTTGAGGAACCAAATCGGTGTCTCCATGGGACTAAAAGTGCAGATAAGTAAATATAAAATCTTAGGGCTCAGTTACCTGGTGGTGCGCAAGAGCACACCTGAAGCTCTAGAATGGGGTGGGGGCCCAATCTTACTCACACGAAAGCAGCACACTTTCCAGAAGACCACATTCAATAGTGGGAAATGCCTGCTGGCAGGAAGCTTTTAAATTACGGAGACCATTAGACACAGCAGACATGATTTGAGCAAGCATCTCTCAGAGTCAAAATATGAATGGATAATGGAATCACTGAAGGGAAGGATCAATGAGGCATCGTAATTTGCAAATATAGAAAGATGGACAAGTGCCTGGGAGACAGTGGAACACTGGGATTGCATCTTATCCAGGATTGGCTATAAAGTGTAGCAGTTAAACAATATTTGAAATCTTTTGTAAGACTTCAGTTTAACATAGTGGGTCTAAACCAGAGGCAATTTCGCCCCTAAGGGAACATCTAGCACTATCTATAGATGTTTTTGGTTGTTGAAGCTGGCAGGGAGTGGGGTGTTTGTGGCATGTAGTGGATGGAAGCCAGAGATGCTACTAACCCTTCTGTAATGGTCAGAGCCCTTTCCACTTCCTGCCACAATAAAGGACAAGAGATAAAGGATTATCCAACTCCAAATGTCAATCATGGCAGATTAGAAAACCCTGGCATAAGAGGAAAACTGCATGAAGGATGAAATAAAAAGGCAAAAATCCACAACTCCTTGAAATGGGATGTGTACTAGACAGGAAGAAGTTGGGCCCTCCTAAAGAACTTCAGTAAAACTTGCCTTCAAGCTAAAGCAAGAAGAAAAGACTGGGACTCTTAGATTGTCCCTGCAGCTGAGTTATTATTGGGTTGTCGGAAAAGCCATGATGCACATTTTTTGTTAAAGAATGATTTATTTAATTTCAGTTATCATTATTCTTTTTTATAATTATTTTATTTAACTTTATTTATTCATTTACTTATTTTAATTTGACCAGAGAGGAACAGAGCCAGAGAGAGAGGGAGAGAAAGAGAAAGTGAGAAGGCAAGTCGCCAGGTCCAGGACTTGAACCATGGTCGGCCTTATGGGAGTCCAGCGCCCTTAACCATCATGCCATCTGCCGGCCCCAGTTATCAT